TCAGGTCACACATCAAGTCTGTCGATTTCGTCGTTCCCCACCCACGATCCCTTAGTTCGGGCACCTTGCTGCCAAATTCCAACCATATTATGAATCGACATGACATAGCGACAAATCGTTCTTGCTATTTATTCGTTCGGACTTTGTGATCTCCTTCCGCCGAGGCGGTTGCGGGTCATCTGGCTGCCGAAATCTCTAAATTGATCACTCGAATTTTCTTTTTATACTATACCCATTTTGGCGTGAGGGGACAAAAGGGAAGGGAGGAGGTTCTTGTCAAAATTTACGCCGTACAAAACAAGAGACTTGATCAACCAACCAAGCAACCCATAAATAATTGGTTGACCTCTTCTGCAGCTGGCAAGCCACAACAGCTTGGAAGATTTCCCCTCAAGTTGGACCACATATTTCATGATTCAAGTCAAAAACTGACCCTCCCTGGCGTACATGTAATTGAAACTCGCCCAGCGCACTAGCTGTGAGCATGTAGAACTCCGCATTTACAAGCATTTGAGAGTCGGATAGACACACCCACTTCTTTGAATCCAATACAATCCTACAATAAACACTCCAGCATCCCTGATCTCTACTTCGCATTCTAACCCTCCCCACCCCATCCTAAAGCTTCGCATCCCCCTTCACAACATCCCTCACCAACTCCAACCCCGCCACCGCAAACGCCACCATATTCCCCTCCCGCTCCGTCTTCCCCGTCTCCACCTCCCTCGTCACTGTCCCGCCCTCGTTCGCCACCGCCAGCGCGACATACCCCGGCGTCCTGTTCCGCGTACTCCCGCCCGTCGGCCCCGCGGTCCCGCTCTCGCTGATGGCGTACGTGCTCTTTAGCGTGGTCCGCGCGTGCTCGGCTAGGCCGGCGACGATGGACGTGGTGGGCCCGGAGTAGCCATTGGCGGTGTCGGGCGTCCAGTGGGAGTAGGCGATGCGGGAGGGGAGGGTGTAGAGCTGTGGTTGGGGGCGTTAGTTGAGCTGCGGAGTGGAAGAGGGGTATGGTGAGGTTACGGTGAGGCCGCCGATGTAATACTGGCTTGCGCCAGGGACGGAGAGGAGCGCGGCGGAGATGAGGCCTCCGGCGGCCTGGACGAGTTAGGTTAGCTTTGCTTTGGATGGGGAGGCGGTGCGCACGGTTTCGGCGACGGAAATGGTTTCTTGGCGGGATTTGAGGAGCTCACCGACCTCGTTGGCGATTGCGCGGAGGGCTGGTGGGAGGAAGCTGGAGTTTGGGTCTGTTTCGTGCGGAGCAGCCATTTTCAATTGTGCGTCAATACTAGATTCCGAGTTGCGGGAGGGTGTTCAGGGTAGAATTGACTCTTTCCAGATTTGCGGTGGGAGGCAGAACCTCGTGTAGTAAGCAGATGCCTCGAATCAGTATGTACATGTTTGTCATCACCTCGATGTGCTCTCTTTTTCTCACGTCCGAGCCTGCCCAATAACAAGTGTAGCGCGCTTCGCGGCAGAGCCCACTAACTTGGGATCAAAGTAATCATTAGGGACAGTCAAAGTAACATTTTTTCAGATGTTTCTGGCGTTGTTTCTGCAAACAGTTCTCGAATTATAAAAATGTGGGAAATCAGAAACATTGCAAAACTGTTCCCGAGCGGTGCTGAGGTCGGTTCTGCACACATTTCTGCATTTCTGAAAAGAGTCAGTTAAAGATATATACCAAAAGTGAAGAGAAACAGAAACACAAATAACACGTAGAAACTCCAGAGGAGTTTCTAGTATTTACGAGGCGTTTCTGAAGTACTCGTGGGGTTGTCAATCATTTGATGAATCGAGAACCGGATCACCAACAGGGGCGGTCAAAGCTCAGGTCATTTCTCCCATGTTTTTGTTAGCAAACAATTACAAGAAACACTTGCAGAAACGACGTCCAGAAACATCCGGAAATGCCTACTTTAATTGTCCCTATTGTGCCAATCATATCTTCTCTGAATCTTTGTATCATTTTTTGCGGACTATTCGGGGAGCTCATGGGAAGCTCATTAATGTCCAGAAATGAGTTTGAGACTGACAGGATTTTTTTTTTGGAGTGCAAATGATCTATCAGAAGAGCCAACCATTGAACAACCAGAATCTTGGGGAGCCCCACTGTGGTACCCCTGGTTGAGTCGCAGACTCTGAGTGCAGATACCCTCCAGTGAATGCAGAAGCACCAGCCTGCCCAAAAAAAGCACTGTGTTCTGCTAAGCAAGCAATCCTAAGTAATTGCCTACCAACTGACATATGTCTGCATTCACTCTGATAGGTGTGTTCAGCTGGAAATCAGAATAGTCAGATGCTATTATATTTGCTGTAATTCTGGCCAGAGGCTCAGACCGTGAAGATGAAGTAGCAGATCCAGCTGGGATAGCATAGAGCCGGCAGAACAACCAAGTTCCTGAAAATCTTCAATTTAGAATGGTGAAATATTTGAACTCATATAAAGTGAACCTACCAGCCACGTCTATCCGCTTTGCGCCACAGTTTGCACATGGGGCAGGCACACAAGGGAACCTTCCCCAAAACTTGAACGATGCGGGCCGATTAGTAAAATCTTTAACGTGAAATCTTGCAAGCGATGTCACATTGTTTGGTTGTGAGTGGCGTGGGATGATTGCATACTTTACTGATAGGGCGGTACAGGACCCACTACCTAAAGTTAGTGGGAATTCAGTCTGTTTTTCACACAAGTCTATTCCGAGACAGGAACATCAGCGTTTAGCTCTGGAGAACTCTGCTTTCTGACGTCTATTCAGAGCAAACACGCGGCCTACTGTAGTATTACATTCGATTCCATGACACCCCCGAAATTCATGGCAGGCATCAGGCTTCTCGCCGTCCTCTCCCCCAGTTCTCCCCCTCAATCAGGTGCTGAACGGCCGCCTCGGATGATCAAGCACTGAGCAAGATATTGCGAGCAGCATGTCCGAGAACTACACAAACCTGCTTTCCTCCTTTCTTCAAGTGGGTGCACAACGGTCGTCTTCGCACAAATCAAGCTGTCCGCAACGTTCGCGGATTCCTAGTCAAGATGATGCAATGCCTTGTGGCAAGGCATCTCGGGCTTCGAGACTCCAAACCAAGTATCAAGCCGTTCAAGACGTGCGGTAGCCTATCTGTATCTGCATTCTAAACGACTACCGCGGCAGCTGGCGAGCTACAACGAATAATTTCTCTGTTACACTCCTGTGTTCCGGTCGCCATCCTTCTCTCGCTTTCAAAACTATGCAATCATACACCGATACGAAACGCGTCGCCTCTGATATTCAATGCAAGCGCCGATACCAGGTTGGGCATGAATTTATCATATTTATCATGTCAAATGATAATCCAACATCCTCTCAACGAGCTTTCTCCATCAGCTCTTGCGATTCTTCGCCGCTTTTCCACTGACTTTCCGGCGGTTCTGACATGTTTCTTCTGATTCTGGCGTTTCTAGTGAATCACCTTTTCTCAGTGCTCTAGATTTCCATTCTTAGCTCCTTGATGTCTAGCTTTCTGTGAGTACATATTCTTTCCGCGTATGATTAGTCCCGTACCCTCGCATACACCTTACCCCTGTACCTTTCTCATTCGTTTAATTTAGCTCTCTCATCGCTGGGAGCGTATCAGTAAGTCTGTTTCCGACGCAAAAATTTGGGTACACGGCCGTTGACCGCGTGTAGGGCCACACACCCAATTTATTCTGTTTTTCCTCTTCACGTCAGCAGTCCGACACGTTTCTACTCACGGATGACCTGACCCGGAGTCGAACCCAGATTTTCTGCAGCAAACCTTTAGCGGAAGGAGATGAAAGGGGAAGCAGTTGCACGGCCTCGTGCTATCAGGTCTTCCTACCTCACTGCCACAGTAACCTCAGCCTGTGTCTGAATCACAATGAGTGAGTGAGGCGGGGATATCCCACCGAATTGATGAGTTGTCGACACTTTAAATTGAATAACCAAATCCAAAGAGAGTTAGCTCGGTCTGTGTGTGTGGGTGTGTGGGTGGAAGTAGATGAACGCAAAAACAGATTCGACTATGTCGTACAACCTGGCCCGGAATCGAACCGGGATCATCTGCAGCCACAATTGCAGTTACCAATCCATCAAGGGGAGGCAGATGCACGGCGTTGTGCTACCAGGTTCTAAATCAAAACCCTCGTACGCTTATTCATGGGATAGGATAGGATCTCAGGGCAGGCCAGGGAAAAAAGACGAGACTGCACTTAGCACTGGGCTGTGCACGTAAATAACACGGAGAAAGCTAGCATGTGCTTACCCTAACCTGAAATGCGCGAGGCAGTGTCGCTCCAATTAATCCTAGATGTCCGAACGAAAAAACAAAAGATCGAGGAAGTGATCGAAAGAAAAAAAAACTTTACGATAACGATGCTCGCCCATGACCTGACCCGGAGTCGAACCGAGATTTTCTGCGGCTAACATTCGATAAGGCTGTGCGAAGGGAAGCAGACACACTGTGTTGTGTTATCAGGTTTTCCTACCTCAGCCTCTGTCTGAATTATAATGAGTGATTGAGGCGGGGATATCCCACCGAATAGGTGAGTCGTCGACGCTTTAAATTGAATAACCAAATCAAAAGAGAGTTAGCTCGGTCGGTGTGTATGTGTGTGTGGGTTGAAGTAGATGAACCAGGAATAGTTGAACAAGAAAATAAGCATTGTCACACCCGCCACGACCTGGCCCGGATTCGAACCGGGATCATCTGCGGCCGCATATTATAGATGTATTTGGGAAAGAGGGCAGATGCACGGCGTTGTGCTACCAGGTTCGAAATTAAAGCCCTTGTAAGCTTATTCGTTGGATAGGATAGGATCTCGGGGGAGTGTAAAGGGGTGGGATTGAGCTCAGCAGTGCTTGGCTGTAGATGAGTATGGAGAAAGCGAGAATGTCCTCACCCTAATTTGGAATGTGTAAGGCAGTGTCATTCCGAATCATCTTAGATGTACAGGCGGGAAAAAGATTGGGGAGGTAATCAAAAACAATTTGAACCAGTTGTGATGACCCGACCCGGAATCGAACCGGGATCTTCTGCCGTCAAACTTTCTGATGACGCAAACGAGGCAGAGGCACTGCCTTGTGCTATCAGGTCTTCAACTGGCTTAGCATTGTGTCTTGATGATGATGATGCTGAGCGGTGTAGAGTGCAATTGGCATGTGTTCAGTGTTTACTGAATTGCAAGATGAAAAAGCTGAATTAAACCAAGAAGGGGGAGAACGGACAACGACCGACCCCGGAGTCAAAATTGCATTGTCCGCAGTTGCTGTCAAGCAGCAAGTGCAACTCGTAACAGCCTTACTCAAACCAGAAATACAATGGAAGGAAATCTGAAGGGAAAAAATGCTAGACTGGATGCACAAATAGTATGACCCCACCCAGAGTCGAAGAAAAAGATCAAAGACGTACTCGAACCCCACGCACGACCCGACCCGGAGTCGAACCGGGATTATCTGCAGCTAACATTCGATAACGCCGTGTGAAGGGAAGCAGATGCACGGCATTGTGCTACCAGGTCTGTTGAATACCGAGTATTTGCTGGATAGATTAGAATGATCTTGGGGAACTCAGAGAGGTAGTACTCGAACAAAAAATATAAGGTAAATACGCGTTCATGACCTGACCCGGAGTCGAACTTTTCTGCAACTATTATCTGAAGGGCACATGAAGGGAAGCAGATGCACGGCCCTGTGCTATCAGGTCTTCCTCCCTGTGTCTGAATTACAATGAGTGATGTGATTGAGGCGGGGGGTTGATTGGGGTTTTAAATCAAATTAACGAATCAAATCAAAGAGATTCAGCTCGGTCTGTGTGGACCAGGAGTAATTGAACAAAAAAACAATCCTTCTAATTCGCCACGACCTGGCCCGGATTCGAACCGGGATCATCTGCGGCCACAAATTGTCGACATCATCTTGGGGAATGGGGGCAGATGCACGGCGTTGTGCTACCAGGTTCGAAATTAATACTCTAGTAAGCTTATTCGTTGGATAGGATAGGATCTCGGGGAGGTGAAAAACGATGAGACTGCAGTTAGTACTGGGCTGTGGATAATAAATAGAGAGAAAGAGAGCATGTGCTTACCCTGATTTGAAATGCACTCCGATCCCTAGAATTGTGAACAAAAGAAAATCGGGAGAGAATCAAAAAGAAAATAAGCTCTCTCACAGCATACTCATGACCCGACCCGGAGTCGAACCGGGAACTTCTGCCGTCAAGATTCTGATAGCCCAAACGAAGCAGAGGCACTACATTGTGCTATCGGGTCTTCAACTGGCCTAGTGTTGTGTCTTGATGAAACTGCGAAGGGGTGTGTGGAGCTTGGGGGAAATCAGTGTGTGTGTTCAGCAAATATTTGAATGCAAGATGAAGTTACTGAAATCAATGGAGAAGGGGAGAATGGACAACAAATGGCGCTTGATTGCCTACCCCGGATGCGGAGAAAAATTGGCATTCTCTGCACTGTAAACTGCCCACTTCGATTCAAAATAGAGCAAGTCAAACCAGAAATAAAATGGAGGGAAACTTGCAGGGAATAAACACTAGACGCGATGTACTTGAAACAGCATGATGCGACCCAGAGTCGACAAAGAGGATTTCACTGTTCTGACATGCTTGAACAAAAAAGAATCAAATGACCTACAAGCACAACCTGACCCGGAGTCGAACCGGGATTATCTGCAGCTATTCTTCGAACGAAACCCAAAGGGGAAGGGGAAGCAGATGCACGGCATTGTGCTACCAGGTCTGTTGAATACCGAGTATATATTATGAGAGATCTTGGACGGTGGAGGAACTCAGGGAGGTAGTACTCGAACAAAAAATATAAGGTAAATACACGTGTTCATAACCTGACCCGGAGTCGAACCGAGATTTTCTGCAGCTATTCTTGGAAGGCCACATGAAGGGAAGCAGGTGCACGGCATTGTGCTATCAGGTCTTTCTACCTGTGTTTGAACACAATGAGTGATTGAGGCGGGGGATTTATTATAATTATTCGTCTGGAGCTGTTAAATTAACGAACCAAAAGGACAGAGAGTTGGCTCGGTCTGTATGTGGAAGTACATGTAGACGAACCAGGAGTATATAAAATCGCGAAAAACATTATATACTATCTAATTACGACCTGGCCCGGATTCGAACCGGGATCATGTACGGCCACAGATTTGGAATATATTCGGCAAAGGGGGCAGATGCACGGCGTTGTGCTACCAGGTTCGAAATTAAAACCCTCGTAAGCTTATTCGTTTGATAGGATAGGATCTCGGGGAGGCGAAAAAGGATAAGATAGCACTCAGTACTCGGCTGTAGGTGATAAGTAGAGAGAAAGAGAGCATGTGCATACCCTGGACCTGGTTTAAAATGTAAAAGGCGGCGTCGCTCCAACTCTTCATAGATGTGCGAACAAAAAAACAAAAGATCGGGGAAATAATCAAAAGAAAAGAAACTTTACATTGACGCTCGCGCATGACCTGACCCAGAGTCGAACCGAGCGTTTCTGCAGCAATTTCTCCAAGTAAATATGAAGGGGAAGCGGATGCACGGCATTGTGCTATCAGTCAGGTCTCTCTGCGTATGCGGAACCAGGAGTAGACGAAGAAAAACATCACGGACATGCTTTCCAGAAAAAAATAAAGATACATGCATGCAACCCGTCCACGACCTGACCCGGAGTCGAACCGAGATTTTCTGCAACTATTTTCGGAAGGCCATATAAAGGGAAGCAGATGCACGGCAATGTGCTATCAGGTCTTCCTACCTCAGCCTGTGTCTGAATCACCCTGAGTACTGCGATTGAGGCGGGAGGTTGACCCGGCTGGGGCTTTGAGATTAGATAACTAAAACAAAAGAGAGTTAGCTTGGTCTGTATGTGGAAGAAGTGCATATAGACGAACCAGGAGTATGTAGTCGAACATAAAAACAAGCCTTGTATTATTCGTCACGACCTGGCCCGGAATCGAACCGGGATCATCTGCAGCCACAGATCTGGACGTTTTTGGTAAGGGGGGCAGATGCGCGGCGTTGTGCTACCAGGTTCAAAATTTTGTAAACTTATTTGTTGGATAGGATAGGAGTCCGGGGGAGGGGGAAAAGGATGAGACTGCCCTAAGTAATCGGATGTAAATAAGTACGGAGAAAGCGAACATGTGCTTACCTTGATTTAAAATGTGGAAGGCGGCGTCGCTCCTACTCTTCATAGATGTGCGAACAAAAAAAAGATCGGGGAAGTAACCAAAAGAAAAGAAACTTTACAATAACGATGCTTGCCCATGACCTGACCCGGAGTCGGACCGGGATCGTCTGCTGCTGGAGACCTGGAGATCAGTTCAAACGAAGCAGATGCACTGCATTGTGCTATCGAGTCTTTAACCGGCTTAGCATTGCGTCTTGACGAGACTGCGGGAAAAATCAGCATCTTGAGCGGGGTTCAGAGTATTATCTGCAGTTTCTCACTGTCAAGCGGCACCTGCAACTCGTAATAGCCTAGATCAAACCAGAAATGAAATGGAGGGAAACTTGAAGGTAACGAACACTAGACTGGATATACTTGAAACAGCATGACCCGACCCAGAGTCGAAGAAAAAGATCGCAGATGTACTCGAACAAAAAAGAATCAAATGACCTACAAGCACGACCTGACCCGGAATCGAACCGGGATTTTCTGCAGCTATTTGTCAAGGGAAATATGAAGAGGAAGCAGATGCAGGGTATTGTGTTACCAGGTCCGTTAAATACCGAGTATATGTTATGAAAGATCTTGGATGGAGGTAGTACTCGAACAACAAAATTTACGAAACCCCGCGCACGACCTGACCCGGAGTCGAACCGAGATTTTCTGCAAACTTTCAAAGGACACATGAAGGGAAGCAGATGCACGGCATTGTGCTATCAGGTCTTCCTACGGCAGCCTGTGTCTGAATTATAATGAGTGATTGAGGTAGGGTTGATTCGGCTGGGGCTTTGAGATTAAATTAACGAACCAAATGAAAAGAGATTCAGCCGGTCTGTGTGGGTAGGTGGAAGTAGATGAACGAGTAGTAGTTGAACCCAAAAAAAAAAAAGCTATAGCAACATCTGCACGACCTGGCCCGGAATCGAACCGGGATCATCTGCGGTCATAATCGCTACGTGGACTCCCTTAACGGGAGGCAGATGCACGACGTTGTGCTACCAGGTTCGCAATTAAAACCCTCGAAAGCTCATTCATTCGATAAGATCTCGGGGAGGTGAAAAAGGATGAGACTGCACTTAGTACTGGTAATCCAAAAAAATTTGAACCTGTCGTGATGACCCGACCCGGAGTCGAACCGGGATCCTCCGCTTTCACATGCGTCGATCGCCGCTGCAATGATAGCGGATGCACGGCATTGTGCTATCAGGTCTTGTTCCCTCTCCTCTGAACTAGTATAGGATGTCTAGCCATAAGAGAGGTCATTCCATTGAACTTGCAAATGAAAGTGAAGTGTTCAAGGCAAATGAACTTCTCGAGAAAAATATTATTCGACGCTTATCGCCCCTCCGTGAACCGATCCAGTTTTTGACACGGTGGAACTGATGCAAATAGGCATCGCACAAAAAAAAGGTACAGAAATCAAGGTTAGGACCTGACCCGGACTCGAACCGGGATCCTCCGCTTCAACATCTGATGAAGTAGACCTACAATGACAGCGGATGCACGACCATGTGCTACCAGGTCTCTCAACCTCTCCTCTGAACCAGCATAGGACATATGATTCAGACGTCGCTCGTGCAAATGAAGTGGCCGACAAAATCATCACGCTCACCGATCGAAGGTGCATCCGGATCCGAATCCAAATGTCGCACAAAAATAATTGGATATTCGATTCAGAACCCGACCCGCACTGCTCTCTGAGTCGAAATCAGAAGATGCGAAATCGAAAATCGAAACTCGGAATCGGTACATACAATTACACGCTACGCTCGACTCGACTCGACTAGGAACTTTCTGTTCTTTACAAACACCTTTCTCCTTTCTCCTTTCTCCTTCCCCTCCTTCCCTCCCTCACTCGCCACTTTCCCCCAACTCCTACAGACTCAAGCGAAACCCTAAGGCAACCCCAAAACAACCTCCATAAACCCCTCATTTCGAGCAACAACTTTTTAGTTCAACTGTCAACATCGGTTGGGTGCTTGGATTTAAAAGGCCGTTCACTGAACCTTGAAATCACCGCAAAGTCTAGACGTCCCGAACCAAGAAAAAAAAACTCACGGCGCCCGCACTGCTCTTGAATTTACTCCTCCTAGCAATGCCTTGGACTGACGCGGACCTGACAAGCACAGCATGCCCCGCATGACGTGGCTTACCTAATCGTCGGCTGTACTCGCCTATAACTTGACTCCCGCCTCCACCTCCTCGCCCACAAATCCAACGAAATAGTCTCATGTCCTACGGTGGTGTGCGTTCTCCCATTCCCTCTCCCTTCCCTCCTTCTGTCATTAACGCACGGACCACAGCAACAGCAATACGGTGCCCCGCCCGGCGCTCCCCCAGGCGGAGGTGGCTACGGTGCGCCCCCGCCCCAGCACCACGGCGGCGGCGGGTACGGCCCTCCCCCCGGCGCGCTCCCCGGCCGCGGTACGCCCTCTCCTTTCATATCCCTTCCTCCTGCTGATGGACACAGGTGGCGGATATGGCGGTGCTCCCCCTCCCGGCGGCCCCCCAGCATACGGCGGCGCAGGCGGCGGCTACGGCGCCCCACCCCCCGGCGGCCCACCCGGAGGCGGCGGATATGGCGGCGGCTTCGCGCCCCCCGGCGCGCGGGGGCCCCCGCCTGACGCCGATCCCCAGTGCGTCTTCCGCTTCCCTCCCTCCCTGTGGAACTGATATATCGGCGATTGTAGGCTGTGGAACTGGTTCTCCTCGGTGGACACGGACAGATCGGGCTCGATCTCCGCGACGGAGCTCGGTGCGCCCTCCTTCCTTGCGCTCTCTTCATTGTGCTGGTGATGCTGATGCTCATGGCCCGTAGAGCGCGCGCTGATTAACGGCGATTGGACGCGTGCGTGTTTCATTCCCCCCTACTACCTCCCTCAACTTGTTCTTGTGCTGAGTCGCATGTAGCCTTCGACCTCGACACCGTCAAGCTGCTCATGGGGATCTTCGTGCGTCGCCCCTTTCTCGCTCTTTCTCGTTCTCCCTCCCTCCGACTAACAACGATCTCGGTGGTGTGTAGGACACGGACCGCAGCGGGACGATCGGGTTCAACGAGGTGCGTCCTGTCTCCTCCTCTTGTCTCCCCCTCCTCCTCCCCCTCCCATCTCCCCCCTATCTCCTCCCCCTACTTCCCCCATGCCTACAAATGATAATAACAAAAAAAAAATACTGATGATATAACTAACGCTAGTTCGCCGGCCTCTGGAAATACATCCAAGACTGGCAGGGCGTCTTCCGCCACTTTGACCGCGACCGCTCCGGCACCATCGACGGCGCCGAGCTGCGCGATGCGCTCGCGCGGTTTGGGTTCAATTTGAGTCCAAGGTTGGTGGGGTTGGTGGAGAGGAAGTATGGTGCGTTGCGTTTGCGTTCTTTCTCCCCTTTTCTTCGCTGGACTTCGCTGGACTTCGCTGGACTTCGCTGCCCCTACCCCCTACCCCTCCCTTCCTCGCCCCTTCTTTACATGCATGCATACGACCGCACTCACAGTCCTCACCCAAGCCTCCGCCGCCGGCCCCCCTTCCGCCCTTGCGCCCGGCCAGCAAGCAGGCATCTCCTTCGACCGCTTCGTCCGCGCGTGCGTCGTCGTCAAGCAGCTCTCGGAGGCGTTCCAGCGGCTCGACACGGACCGCGACGGGTGGGTGCAGGTGGGGTATGAGGGGTTTATGGAGGTTGTTTTGGGGTTGCCTTAGGTGTTTGTGTTTTTTGGGGGGGGTTGTTGGGGAGAGATAAGGGAAGAGGGGAGAGGGGGGAGAGGGAGTGGGGAGGAAGGGTGAGGGTGAGGGGGGAGGGGGGAAGGAGAAAGGAGAAAGGAGAATAAGAAGGGGTGTTGTAAAGCAAAGAACAGAAAGCCCCCAATCAAGTCGAGTCGAGCGTAGCATATGCGTGTAATTGTATATACCGATTCCGATTTTCGATTCATCTTCTGATTTCGACTCGGAGTAGATAGAGAATTGGTTCTACTGAGGTCGGGTTCTAAATCCAATATCCGATTGTTTTTGTGCGGTGTTTGCCGCATGCACCCTCGATCGTGATGATTTTGTCGGCCACTTCATTTACACGAGTGACGTCTGAATCATATGTCCTATGCTGGTTCAGATGAGAGGTTGAGAGACCTGGTAGCACAAGGCCGTGCATCTGCTGTCATTGGGTATGACATGGGGTAGAAGTTGAAGCGCAGGATCCCGGTTCGAGTCCGGGACCGGGTCAGGTCCTAACCTTGATTTCTGTACCTTTTTTTTTGTGCGATGCCTATTTGCATCAGTTCCACCGTGTCAAAAACTGGATCGGTTCACGGAGGGGCATAAGCGTCGAATAATATTTTTTCTCGAGAAGTTTATTTGCCTTGAACACTACACTTTCATTTGCAAGTTCAACCGAACGACCGTTCTCGGGGCTGGTTACTGGATATCCTGTACTGGTTTAGAGGAGAGGGAACAAGACCTGGTAGCACAACGCCGTGCATCTGCTGTCGTTAGAGAGCATCGACCATTGTTAAAGTGGAGGATCCCGGTTCGAGTCCGGGTCGGGTCGCCCTTTTTTTTTTGTGCGATATTTGGAATTGGATGCATCTTCAATACAGTTCCATCCTCAATCGGTGAGCGGAGGCGCAATAAGCGTTGAATGATGATATTCTCGATTTGCAAGTTCGACCGCAAGTCAAACGAGCCACCTTTCTCGTGGCTCAATATCCTCCTTATGCTGGTTCAGAGAAGAGGGACCTGGTAGCACAAGGCTGTGCATCCGCTGTCATTAGACTCTTAGAGAGCATCGACCATTGTTAAAGTGGAGGATCCCGGTTCGAGTCCGGGTCGGGTTCTGAATTTGATTTCTGTACCTTTTTTTGTGCGATGCCTGTTTGCATCAGTTCCACTGTGTCAAAAACTGGATCGGTTCACGGAGGGGCGATAAGCGTCGAATTATGTTTTTCCCGAGAAGTTTATTTGCCTTGAACACTTCACTTTCATTTGCAAGTTCAATGGAATGACCTCTCTTATGGCTAGACATCCTATACTAGTTCAGAAGAGAGGGAACAAGACCTGATAGCACAAGGCTGTGCATCCGCTATCATTGGGTATGACATGAGGTAGAAGTTGAAGCGGAGGATCCTGGTTCGAGTCCGGGTCAGGTCCTAAGAGGACAGCTATGTCAATGCTTTTTTTTTTGGAGCGCCCCCACGAAGACTCGGGAGGCAGAAGCTGGGTTGATGGGTGGGACTCAGATCGAGATGGGCACCATTTTCAACTTGTTCGACCTTAGGGTCTCGTGTCTAAAGGAGTCCGAAGTGATAAGGAAGAGGAGGAGAAGAGGAGGAGGTCGCAAGACCTGGTAGCATACTGCCGTGCATCCGCTGCGGCTGCTGGAGGCTGCTAAACTCGAGATCGGAGGATCCCGGTTCGAGTCCGGGTCGGGTTCTGATAGGCATGGATCATGTTTTTTTTTGTGCGATATTTGGAATTGGATGCATCTTCAATTCAGTTCCCCCCTCGATCGGTTCAATAAGTGTCAAATTATGTTTTTCCCGAGAAGTTCATTTGCCTTGAACACTTCACTTTCATTTGCAAGTTCCACCTCTCTCGTGACCTCTCTCGTGACTAGATATCCTACGCTGGTTCAGAGCACAGGTTGCAAGACCTGGTAGCACAAAGGCCGTGCATCCGCTGTCATTGCAGCGGCGATCGACGCATGTGAAAGCGGAGGATCCTGGTTCAATTCCGGGTCAGGTCATAGCCACAACTTGATTCTACCTTTTTCGTCGGGTGGGATTTTTTCCGCCGTGAACGTGAGTGAGTATTTTAGGCTGCAGAATATGAGTGCCATCGTAACGGACTGATCGAGGTCAGCTCCGAAAACCTAGCGCAACGTCACGTCAGTTCCTCGATTTTTTTTTTTTGAGTCCTGGCCCGGCATCCGCTGAGCTTCTCGCCCCGCGATAACTGAGGAAACTACTTAAAATACACCCTTTGCCGAGCGGTGATGCCGGCGATCATATCCTGACTGTTCCGTGATGGGTGCCGCGCGGCTGCCTTCGGAAGGTGAAGGCGGTGACGTGTTTGTCTTCTTCGCACACTCAGACTCGAGTCTTGACACCGAGGCGTTGCTGGTGAGTGAATTATACGTATGATTGTCCAAATGCACATTTGATCCCGCGCACATCACACATCCTGAAATCAGATTTCCGCACTAAATAAGCCCTTTGAGTGAAATCCCACACATAAATGAACCACATACTTGAATTGCGCGAATTCGGCCAAACGCGCAATCGCGCAAATCGAATTCCGCGCAAAGTCCGCGGTGCAAAGAAAATGCAGTCATTGCTTTCTTCTTCACGGGAGGTTTCCCGAATCTCGGTCGTTTTCTGGTCCCGTTTCGGAGAGTTGTAAGGTATTGGCCTGTGGCGATCACTCTGTATCCTTCCAGAGATTGATCCCAAAGAGGCCTTTTCATCTTTCTGCTTTTCTTCCAGGTTTACACATCCAAGCACCTATACAACGTCGGACTCGGAAAATATTTTAGCTCGAGCGAGTTCGAGCCTATCGAGCTTGTGCGCATCAACTCGACGGCCAGCCAACCGATCGGTTATAATCAACACATATCTGTCACCCATAATGCGGTTGCTAATTCTGCCATAGCAGCGCCCGCATCCGACCCAATGCGGATACGGTGAAGAGTATCTCTGGCGCTTGCGCGAACCACTTCAGCCTCGTGCCTACTGCGGAGATGAAGGAGATTATAAAGTCATCGACGTCACAAGAATAAAGCTTACTCCAGAGATGCAACCAACATAATGCAGTGTTCCAAGTCCCGGATTTCGTAGTGGTCATCTAAACGGGCATCTCCGGCCATCCATCTGGCCATCCGCATGTCCAAAAACCTGGATGGATCCCGCAGTCTCCGACATTCTCTGAAACGGGTGGACAGATCTGTATCCAACGACCATTGGCTTATGTGACCCAGCGCATAAAGAGCTCTGGTTTGAACTCCGTCATCTTTGTGACTAGGTTCTGCGAATCAGATTTCGCCATGCGGTTCTGAGAAGGACTTACTGCAAGAGGGACGCAAGTGGCTTGCGAAAATCGGCTCCGTCGATGGCCATCATCAGTCTGAGAGATTTATGACGGGCAAGATGTCCTAGGAGAAGGCAGGTATATCCCAGGACATGATGATCGATCGACTCAAGAAGCTCCCAAGCGTGATCAAGTGCGTTTGCATTAATAACCTCTCGAGCCCTGTCGACCGACACGAAGCTAGCATCAGCCAGAGCATGTGTTGCATTCCGTTGGATGAATAGATCCCCGCGATTGGCCATCTTCCACAGCAGCGATGATCTCGACGCTATCGGATTGAGGTCACTGGGACGCGCAAGCTCTAAAAGCGTCACAAGACGTCGAAATATATGTAGGGTAACAAGGTCCCCGTATTGAGCTTCTTGCTGGGCCATTTTTCCTACGATCCAACATGTAGCGCCGAGGATAATGTGATTATGGGACTCCAAGAAACGGGTTACGTGGCTCAAGAAATCGGCTCTAGCAATCACACTGACCGCGTTAACCTGCCCTGAGCTTATCTGGGCCAGAATGCAAATGACCCGTTCTTGGATACCAACATACTCGGAGCTGAATGAAGACGTTATGGACACATTTGTCACCGACAAGAAAGAATCACGCACGATAAGAGACGAATCAGCTCAGGGCACATGTCACTCTCGACAACTGTGTTTATCAACGCGCCATGGCAAACGATCGTTCGCAGTAAACCGGTGGTGGATAGCAGAATAAGCTCATCAGGCGATTTCAGCAGTTCCGATATTCGCGATAAAATACCGCCGTCCAAGAGGATCCTTGCCTCCCCTTCGGATCTGGAGGCCTTCTCACGTATATGGCCCAGAACAACCACCCTTGTTGCGGTCGATATATACTTGAAACTGCAATCAAAGAATGAATCGCACCCAGCCACATTACTGGTTGTATCGAGGCCAACAACGTACGTGAGATATGTGGTCAGGGTTTCGAGCTTTTCTGGTGAGATAGGCAGGCCTTCATCCTTCTTGATCAGATCCAACGCCTGGCGATGGTACATGTATTTCAGCAGAGGTTTAGTGAGAGTGTGCAGGGGAATAGTGGCGCCGGGAGGATTACTATCCGACCACCAGCTGAGGAGGCTTCCGGTTGTCGGGTGGCGCCGTAGGGCAGATGACGACTCGGCCATGGCTCCCTGGGTCGAGTCTGGCGGTACGAAAAGACGAGGAAGCACAAACCTGTATCACCGTCGCAAATATTGTTTCATCTTTTCTCACGGATTTAGGACCCTGATGATTGCTGCCTGATTTATCTTAGACTTTGATGCTGAGGCGGTTCAAGTGCGGACTGCGCCAAGAATAGGATGAGAATGATGCGCAGGAAGCAAGCTGAGTGCCAAACTCCCTGGGTGAGGCTAGAACTGGGCGGAAGGGGCCGCCACTAGTGTGAATCGGCCGGTGAATCGGGTTCACGAGAATTCCAATAGCCAAAGAAAGACCGGTGTAACCAGCGGTTTGTTTTCTGTTTGGATGGAAGTGTATATAGTAAGATAGCACCGGCACGACGTTAATAGCGGTAATGCGCCATGAGAGAGCAGGAAGCAAGGGGTCCGGATCAGTGTGCGACTGATTCCCGGCCTTTCCCGATCTTATCTGACCTTATCAAAAGCAAACCCCAATTTCCAAAAATCTGTAGATATGGTTCCTATGTGTATCCCAACCAGACCGATTTGCACCAAAGCATGAATTTAGTAAGTAGCTACTTTCTCAAAGTCGCGCGTATCTTTATCTTTAGCGATATGGCGTCGAGTTGCGGTCAATTTCCGGCTCCAATCGGCCGAGTGGTCTCTCAGGTACGTTCATTTCTCGCTCCTGTTGAAAGCATCCGCCGTTGTCCAAGATTGTTCCGATCTATCTATAATCAGGTTTCATCAGACCTGATAGCACACTGCCGTGCATCCGGCTCCCCTTCCAGGATTCCGATCGTTTCGCCGCAAACACTCCGCGTCAGGTCACTGGGTGTGGTTTTATCTTTTCGGTTCGAATACCTCTCTTCCTTCGTTTACACGGCACAGCAGCTAACGAACCTCGCATCGACTTACCTCCAATGGCATTCTCGGCCCATACTTGAGGAAAAATGACAAATTTGCGGTTGACTCCGGGTAGGTATCCCTTCTTGTCGGGCGTCAGTCAAAGTGAACTCGTGTTGCCGGCTGCCTACGGCTGGCCCCTGATGATGTTCTCGAATAAATTCAGTCAACTCGCCCCCTTCGAATGTGGGAAATAGCTAGAAACCAACTGGAAGATTTGTGGTAAGTTGAGTTCTCCATACACGAATTCACACATTCTCATGCGCAAAATCAACATGGAGTTACCTTACCGTGTTAAAGTGGCGGGCCACCCTCAGGCCCTGGCTCAGGGACAGGCCCAACCCCGAATCCGAGCCCGCCCCCAGGGCTTGGCCTAGCCCGAGGCTGTGCGTTGGGCTTGGGCCTCAGGAATGTCAAGCCCGAGCCCGCTCAGGCCAGGGCCAAGCCCTGTCTTTCAAGCCACTACTCCTGTCTTCATCTACTCCCTATTTATTACCTATAGAACAAGCAGCGCATCTGCTGCAATTTGCAAATCTGTTCATGGTTGAAGACTGCGCTTCGAATCCGGATCGGGGTCTCAAGGAGTCCTCTTTTTATCGCTTCATTTTTATTAGCTAGAACTGTGGGAATCTTCCCGGTTTCCACTGGATATCCTCTCATTATTCCTTGCTTATTTTCAAGTCCTATCTCTTATGCCGATTCAGCGGCCAAAATCGGGGCTTTCCTTGGCCGAGACCTCCCGAAACTCCACTAAACTCCACCAATGCTCGGCATATGTCAAAACTAAATTGAGGACAATGGTTCTATCGCTCGACTTTTGAGTGCGTCCCAATTAGATGGCCTTGGTACACCATCCCCTATCCATTCATGAGGTCGATAAAAAGCTCTTGTCGCCATCCTTTCCGTATCTTACACACTCAACCGCCATACTAATTCGGTTCGCCTTGGTGCTTCTCTGTTTCGGCGCCTTCGTTTCTGCTAACTCCGGGATTTTTTTGGACGATGGTCGAGTCATCCAAATGGC